TAATCCATCAACTGAGTTTCTAATTTTAATCATTGGTTTCTTTGTGTTCAAAAAAATGCAAAAAAGCAAAGAAATAGGTTTCTTTTTCAAATCTGCCTGGTTAATTATAATAATCTCTTATGCCTTTACCAAATTTCTCATACTTTTATTTCTTTGAGCATATCAAACATACTTACTTTGTACTCCGTATCTGATCATTCCAATATCTACTGCTGGTCGGATTCTTCAGTTTTGTATTTCTGCCACTTTCACTCATGATAGCTTGTATAGCTCCCGTTCTAGGTAACTTTTTTTATTGTGATCTCGGGCTCTTTGGAATTTTATTTGCGTGTATTTTTTTTTTTTTTTTTGAAGTTTGGGTTTTTAAAGTGCGTTACTGTATAGAAAATAGTTTTGCTTCAGCCAGGTTCCTGGCTATGCTACCAGAGTATCCAGAATATTTCAGATTAACTTCCTAGCTCAGGTTCTTTTTATTCAGCTAATCAGTAGTATGAATTCTTTTCACAAAACCTTGTGTATGAGGCTTAGTGGTTAGGAATTCTCAGAGAGGCTTTGTCTGCCCAACCTGCCTCACCATAAGGCTGAAACCAGCACAAAGCTTTATTAATTCTTTATCAATTCTCTCTTCTGGGATCAGCTGAGGAGGTCACCCCTCAGGAGTCTAGGTTGTCTATATGTAATGGGAAAATTTGATTCCACTTCCACCTGCTCTGGCCCAGGTTTTCTCTGTCTGTACTCTTGGGGCCTGTAAAAAGCCAGACTCTGGGCAGCCTGAGACCAGGAAACTAGCCCCATCACAAGCCCCAGATTCCTCCCTCCCTTCACCAGGAGGATTTTCTCTTTCTTGTTCTAGCCATCAGGGATTTCCTTTCCTTTTCTACCAGATTAGCCATGCATTAAGCAAAGACTTTTCTTCCATATTTCATCCATCATTTTTAGATGTGGAGACCAGGGAGATATTGCACTCAGTGTATAATGTGCCATATTGCTGAAAAGCAACATTTTGAAATTAGTTTTTAGTAAGTAAAGTATATATGTCTCTGATCTAGATGCCCCAGTAAACAATTTTAAAGCCTCGCTTTACACTTACAAGCTCCTGGACCTTAAAAAGAAAACCTTGGAACGTATGGTTGGGGGATGTATTTGCTGTGTATCACTGAGGATTAGGCCCACACGTGAATCTGAGCTGAGCTGATTGGAAGATGTGTACTTAAGATCCAGACCTACTTACTAAATCTTGCAGCCCCTCTCATTAACCACAGCTTTATCACACTGCACTCTCAGCCACGAATGGCCTGTAAATTGTCCTGGGGCCAAAGGAAGTTCTCATACCTATGGTTGTTCTCAGGCATTAAACTTACTCCATTACATCCTAACAAAGTATTAACAAATCAGAGGACACCCTCTGAGTTATAAAGGAAGTCTTTTTTGTGAATGGGATTTCTTTAACAGAAAGAAATTTGCTTCTTCACCGCAAGAACCACCATCAGGATGCACCCCATTGCCCCACCTGGTTCTTGGGGTCTTATTCCCAGGTGATTATCATGTTTATGTCTGTGGGTTGTGTCATTTCTTCGTTCACTGAGCTGTAACATCCTGAGTGCCCACTGAGCACCGCCTGGGTACCGGGCACTGTGCCAGACCCTGGAGATGTGAGGACGCAGACGTTATCTTGGCTCTGGACAAATTCACTTTCCATTGGAAATAACAGAAATATAAACACTAATCACAATAAAAACCACTTAATACTGCAAGTGAGGTATAAACACAGTGATTTATGTCATGATGAGCACCGGGTGGTGGATGGAAGTGTCGAATCACTATACTGCACACCTGAAACTAATATGACACTATATGTTAACTATATTGGAATTAAAATTAAAAAATAGGTAAACACAGTTATTTGCATCATAATACACTGTTCTCTTTTTGAGATATAATTGATATGTAACATATTAGCTTTAGATGTACAACATTATGATAATATATATATATATATGTAGTGAAATGATTACCATAAGTTTAGTTAACATCCATCACCATACAGAGATACAAACTTTTTCCTTCTCATAAGAACTTTTAGGGTCTACTCTCTTTGCAACTTCCAAATATACACTACAGTATAGTTAACTACTTTCATTCCCCAAACCCACCTCTGGCCACCATCAGTCTGTTCCCTATCTGTGGGTTCAGGTTTAGATTCTGCATATAAGTGAGATCATATAGTATTTGTCTTTCTCTCTGACTTACTTCATTTGGCATAATGCCCTCAAGGTCTATCCGTGCCGTCACAAAGGGCACAAAGGGCAGGATACTGTTTTCCACAGCGTCTGGGCCAATTTACGTTCCCACCAACAGTGCACAAGAGCTCCCTTTTCTCCACATCTGCCAACATCTGTTCTCTTGTCTTTTTGGGACAGCCATTCTAACAGGTGTGAGGAGATAGCTCATCGTGGCTTTGATTTGCATTTCCCTGATGACGAGAGATGTGGAACACCTTTTTATGTACCTGTAGGCCATTTGTAGGCCTTCTTTGGAAAAATGTCTATTCAGATCCTCTGCCCATTTTTTTTTTAAATCAGATTGCTTGGTTTTATTCCTATTGAATTATCTGAGTTCTATATATATTTTGGATATTCACCTCTTGACAGATAAAAGATTTGCAAATATCGGGGTGCCTGGGTGGCTCAGGCGTTAAGCGTCTGCCTTTGGCTCAGGTCAGGATCCCAGGGTCCTGGGATCAAGCCCCGCATCGGGCTCCCTGCTCCACGGGAAGCCTGCTTCTCCCTCTCCCTCTCCCCCTGCTTGTATTCCCTCTCTCACTATGTCTCTCTCTGTCAAATAAATAAATAAAATCTTAAAAAAAAAAAAAAAAGATTTGCAAATATCTTCTCCCATTCAGCAAGTTGCCTCTTCAGGTTGCTGATGGTTTCCTTTGCTGTGCAGAAGCTTTTTAATTTGAAGGACTCCCACCTGTTTATTTTTGCTTTTGTTGCCTTTGCTTTTAGTGTCTTTACTGAGACTGAAAAACTTTAACATTTTAAAAGTATTTAGAATCTGATAGTGAAATGCTAAAAGTTGGATGCATACGCAGGGTGGAGGATTCTGCTCACCATATTCGGCACCTTCCCTAGGGACCTCCCTGCCCTGGGGTGACCAGACGATGACTACTTACTATAGCTGTTATCACTCTCATCCCTTAGAAAACCTGCTAAGCACGATGGTGCTGGGCAGAGTTTGATTCTCAAAGCACAATGCTATGCGTTAGAAACCTGTATGTGAGCATCTTTGGTTTGGGTTTCCATCCTTCAGGTTTTCCAAATTTTTTTTGAGAGAGAAAGAGAGCGCGTGCGCACACGAGCAGAGGGAGGGGAAGAGAGAGAAGACGACTCCCTGCTGAGCAGGGAGCCTCATGCAGGACTCGATCCCAGGACCCTGGGATCATGACCTGAACCAGAGGCAGAGGTTTAACCGACTGAGCCACCCAGCCGCCCCCAGGTTTTCCAAATTTTTACATTTAATAGGCACTGATGCTGCCATATCCAATGTAAGCATTCTGAACCTGGCACTTGACCTTTATTAGTTACTCAGAGGCCTCATTTGTAAAATAAGTTTGGTATCTTATTAGAAACCCCACCATTTTCTCTAGGTTATTGGGAGGAGCAACTGAAATAATAGAAGTCAAAGTGTAAAAAATGATGTTATAAATTTCTAAAGTATTATCATTATTATTTTTAGAGTAATATCAGAGTATTAGAGCATTTTATGTTATCTGAGTACTTTTAGTAGTTTCTTAACATAAAAATAGCTCTGGAGATGTTTTTAAATAGTCATTACAAGTTAATAAAATGACTTGCATGCTCGTATTAATTTTAAAGCACAGAAGAAAAAAATTTTCTTTGACTACTCTAGAGGCCAAAATGGAAGGATTCTGTTTGGATTAACATGTTGGAACATATTTAAATATAGACCTAGACTACAATTTTTTTGTACTGAATCCAAAAATATACCATTCTTTTTCTGCCCATGTCATTCAATACTGAAGTAAGCTTAAGAGATTGCAGGGTCTGAGTGATTAGACAGGAGCAGAATGAATATCTATGTGGTTGCATGAAACCTCTCCTCCTCTTCGTGCTAAGAGTCAGGAATAACTCAGTTCTGTAACAATAATAATATTAGCAAACATTTCTGAGAGCTTGCCATGTGATAGATCCTGAGGTAATTCATATGATCACTTAACAACGGGCATCAGATACTAGTTCCAAGCCTTTCAAGAAATTCACTCAACCCCTGCTGCCCCCAATGCACTAGGCACTATTTATTTCCATCTAAGAGATGAGAACTTTCAGAGAGGTGACAGAGGGTCTTACAGTCCCCCACCTGGACGGGGCTGGGGTTGGAGCCCAGGCAGCTGTCCCCGGACCCACAGTCTTCACCCCTGGCTCTTCCCAACGCCCTCTGCCTTCTGGCTCATGTCAACTTCGTTCTCTTCTTCTGGATCCTGTCCCTTCTGTGACAACACTTGGAGTGCCCCATTCTCCAGGTGGGAGGATGAAGGATAACAAGAAGTAGAAGAACCTTGAAACGTCCCACTTACCAGCTTTGGGCAACTGTTGAACCGACCTAATCCTCGATGTGAAGGAAACACTAGTACACTCCCCTGACGAAGCATCGAAGGAAGAAGAGTCCGTAGGGTCTTTATCACTTGCCTGCATGTTTCACACCTGATAGACGCTCTTCATCACAATTATTCAAAACAACCAAAAAAAGGATCTCGCACTATAAAATCAAGCCATGTTTCCTCAACTTGTAAGCAAAGGCCACGTGTCCGGTGCATGTCAGGCCTTGTCCACCACTCATCAGGTGAGTTTATGTTTGAGCTTCTTGCCTGAAGGCACTCCCAGTGCTAAGAATTTCTTGGACCAGTGTCTCAAAAGAACCTACACGTCAACCCCAAAATAAAGATCTGAGTTTCAACTCTTTCTGTCTTTATTCTGCAGGCTTACAGAGTTGATGAGAAGGCTGCGGAGCAAGCTCGGTGGGAAGAGGCCTCCAAAGAAACAATCAAGAAAACCACCAAGCCTTGTCCCCGTTGCCATGTGCCTGTTGAAAAAAATGGTGAGTCTGGGCTACGGAAAAAGTGAGGATTTGGTGAGCTCTCCTTGGAGAGCACGAGCTGTGTGGTTACTCTAGGAACTCTAGGAGGATGTGTAACTGAGGAGCTCAGCACTCAGGGAATTTAGAGCCATTGGCCAGAATGCAAATCTCAGCTCTCCCAGGTTAAGTTTTTTAACTGCCTAAGCCTGAGATCCTCCTCTCTCAAGTAGAGATGAAAACAGAAGCTGCCTCACAACAGTAGAACCGTGAGATGTCGTGCATGGCGGATACTCAGCCAAGTGCCTGGCTTAGACAATCAATAACCACTAACTGCCCTTATTAGTAGTAGTTATTAACAGTGTTAGACACTTTGTATCTGGTAAGTTGTCCACTGGTGTAGCCGAAAATATAGATATTAGGGAAACTTCCCAGCCGAATGTTTCTCAGTATTCTGCTATCCAGAGTTACTCAGTAGGGAAAGGGTTACCAGGTGACTCCTGTTGGACGTCCCTCTTGGGTAGTAACAACAACACAAATAATTAACTTGTATTGAGCATATACTGGATGCTTATCCTAAGTTCCCTATAAATATCAGATCATCTAACACTCACAGAAATCACAATATATTCACAATCTACATTAGCAATTCATAATTCCTTTTGTAAAGAAATCTGTTTAATTTTGTTTAATTACCTGGTTCCCAAATTTTTTGGCCATGAAATTCTTTTTTTTTTTTTTTCCCCTATCACACCCATTTATATACCTTTGAACACCAGCATGCACTTGGGGCTTTGGTTTCTCCATCCTTGCTGTGGGAGATTTAGTGCCTTATATTATTATGACGCTTGCCTGCTTCATTAAAATATCCTTTACATGCCTATGTTTCTCAGTACACCTATTCCTTTAGCCTTTTACTAACCACTCTCTAAATTTTAAGAATGTAAAGTGACCATTTGGAGATGCCTCTGGATTAACGGACATTAACTGCAGTCAGTGTTTTAGGAGCCCACCTGTAGGCCCTGCTTTGTGTGGGTGAACAGGCTTAGAAACGCGGGATCCATATTTGAACGGCTCTCTTCTTTTTTTTTTTTTTTTAAGATTTTATTTATTTATTTGAGAGAGAGAGCACATGAGAGGGGGGAGGGTCAGAGGGGGAAGCAGACCCCCCGCTGAGCAGGGAGCCCGATGCGGGACTCGATCCAGGGACTCCAGGATCATGACCTGAGCCGAAGGCAGTTGCTTAACCAACTGAGCCACCCAGGCGCCCAGAACGGCTCTCTTCTTAACGGCACTCCAAACCCAAGACATCACCGCCCAGGAAGGGCTGGTGTACCCCCCCCCACACACACACACACTCAGTAAACACTGGAGGCCACCGTGGCTATGGGGACACATGGGGGAGCTTGCAGATGGAAGGACCGTCCTTCCCACTCCTGTCCTAATGGACAAGTAGCCCCTGTAATTAATCCACTGAAGGACACGGAGGGAGGCCCCCCCAGCTCCACGATGGTGCGTCCACGCTTGTGGCTTCAGTTTCTCCTCTCCCCTTGAGCTCCCTGGGCTGGGATGCCGGCACCGGGTCCCGGCACCGAGGTCGCGGGGCCTGCAGGTGGTCAGCATGCATCCTCCGTGCTCTGCAGCGCTAGTCTGTGCTCAGAGTTCGGCTTTGGGCTGCCCCGTTCACGGTGATCTGATACCTCGCACCAACCAGTGGGGCACCTGCTGCCATCCATCCGGAATGTGCCAACCAGCGCAGAGCCATCACAGCCCGGAGCCCGGAGCCCGTTCTACGCGTGAGACGCGCGTGCTCGTGTGAGCTGGCGGCGATGTTGTCGCGGGTGAGAAACACAACGGAGCCCCAGGTACACCTCTTCCCACGTTGTCCTCATGGAGCCTTCGCTGCACCTGCGCGGTGGGCTGCGAACCGATGGCTCGCCGGGGAGTGCAACCGGCAGGCTCAGGAGGGGCCCGCAAGCCTCCTTTGCTCAGTTGTGTCCTCCAGAAGGTCTGCATCAATGCAAACAAGAGAGCGCCGACGCAGCCCAGGGCAGCAGGAATGGGCTCCGCTCAGGCCAAGTCCCTGGCTCAGAGACCATGGTGTCCTGGAAATAAAATAAACGTGCGCCGTGAGTCCTCGCGTTCCTCTGTGCGCTGGACTGCACCTGGAAGGTGGGCTGGCATCCGCTCGGAAGAGAGGACGTCAGTGGAACCAGGGCAAGAACTCGCGGTCCTCACTGCCCCGGGCGGGTGCTGCGGAGGCAACTGGAAGTCAGAGAAGAGGCAAAGAACTTTCACCAGGCAGGGTGTGCAGTGCTGATAAACACGGGCCAGTGCCCCAGCTCACACGGATTTCAAGAATGCACATTCAATAGTAAGAGACCATTTTGCTATTACCGAAGGGCAGGAACCTTGCCTGTCTCTCCCCTGGGCCCAGAAGAGCACCTGACCAATACTCCTTGAATTAAAAAGTAGCTAGTAAAGGGGATAACACGTAAACAGATATATTTTTTCAGACTTTATTTATCTGAGAGAGAAAGAGAGAGAGCACAAGCAGAGGGAGAAGGAGAAGCAGACATGCCGCTGAGCAGGGAGCCCGATCTGGGACTCGATCCTGGGACCCTGGGGTCATGACCTGAGCGGAAGGCAGACGCTGAACTGCTTAACTGACTGAACCACCCAGGCGCCCCCTGATTCCCGATTTCTTTGAAATACCAGGATTTACTCTAAATGGAAAGCCCTGATTTTTCACCGATAGATTTTTAACCCATGAACAGAAAAGCTGAAACTTTAAGCTTATTAATAATAAGCTATTATTAATCTAAACTGTTTTTAAAGCATACAACAGAGACAAATGTGAGCTCTACGGGCAAGAAAAGCTGGTTGCATGATCTCATTCTCAAAGTAAATTCATGGCCTGTGTCATCATGGTCATCTGAAAACCAGAAAGGACTTCTTCCCACAGCAAAGCCACAAAGAAACGTGAGGCTCATTCCCATTTCAAACACAGACTAAGCCTCGCTGCTCCCTCCTGCCATCGTCAGTCTGGGAAAGCGTCTCCCTTCCCTTCCACCTCAGACAGATGAGATTCTGTTTCCATTTTCTGATCAACAAGTGCCTGTTGCCAGTTAAATCTCCCTTCAGGTCCTTCAGGAACTTCTACTCCCTCATTAAATCTAATGGAAGAGTCGCTGGCCCCAGCCACGGGGCTGATAGGCATAGGCACATCAGCCAGTGGACAGAATTCTCTAGGAGGGAAGCCATGTTTTCTTCATTTAAAGCCCACAAAGTCCAGTGAAGTTGTCAGCAGCTTCTCACTCACATTTATGTTTACGTTGGCAGAGCTTTTAGAATCAGAGTCCCTGGTGCTTCTCCATATTATGGGAGCTAGCATATTGCCTTGCATCTGTTTAGCACAGGAAAGTTATAAGAAAGTTAATAACATAAATATTCTCTCTTCCTAATTCCTTTCTTCTTATTCTATGGGGCCATCGTGATTCTAGTTTCTATAATAAAATGTTATTTGCAATGTTAGTATTTTTGAGGATTTGGGTATTGTAGGAGGACATTATATTATTTACATCATAAGCATATAATCATTAAATATGTATTGAAAATTATACAGTCCTGGAATTGTGTAATCCTAAATGGGAAATATTAAGATAAAAGTATCATAGGTGAGTTTTCCCTTTGTTTTCTGCATATTTATAATTTAGAAGTAGCAAAGTAGGGGATTTTAAATGCCCTTAAATTATCCCACAACAAATTCCTTTAGTTACATATTCATAAATATTTTAAATCAGTGGAAGTTCTCATGCCATATTTCTAATAATAAAAAATAAGACAGTATGGAAGCGATTACCTGGAAAATTTGGCAAGAAAAAATGACTTAACAAGATAATTGGTAAAATTGAATAACAGAACACATCCAGTGTTATGTCAGATTGAAGTAAAGAACTGCTTTTGCCTGAATTATCTAGGAAATCCAGTCAGAAACTATTCTCTGCGTCTAACTTCATATAAGTAACTTCCTCTGCACTCCACTGCGGACTCGATGTCTGAGCCCCAGAAGCAAATAAAAAAATGAATTGCACAAATGCAGGAGGGGGAGGAATTCTAAAATAAGTCCCGGAATAAGGGACCGTTCATCTCATGCTGCAAATGCCCTGTTCCATGAAAGAACAGACCCTGGGTACATCTCAGGCATTGCCAGTTGGAATTACCTGACCTTGAGAAAATTCTACGGCGGAGTAACACTCCTACTCACTCGGTGCTTTTGAGGAGTAATGAGGTCATCCATGTAGAGTACCTAGTTTCTCCCATCTTAAATACAATTTCAGTAGCATTAAAGAATGCATTCTCCATTTAATACTTATTTTATTTTATTTTTTTAAAGATTTCATTTATTTATTTGACAGAGAGAGACATGGCAAGAGAGGGAACACAAGCAGGGGGAGTGGGAGAGGGAAAAGCAGGCTTCCCGCTGAGCAGGGAGCCCGATGCGGGACTTGATCCCAGGACCCTGGGATCATGACCTGAGCCGAAGGCAGGCGCTTAACGACTGAGCCACCCAGGTGCCCCTCCATTAAATACTTTTAATACTGCTTCCCCACCTCCTTTTTCATAAATTTTGCCAAGTCAAGTAATATTATAGGTTATATGTTAAGGAATCAAGTATATTAACGTCTCTTTAAGACATTAAACAATATACATTTCAATAAGGAATTGACCCCATCTGTGAAACACAAAGCATTTGTCTCTAAATCCCATTTCAGGAGAAGTAAATAAACTCAGATTTATAAATAAAATTTGTCCTAGATGGGAGTGGCGTCCCTCACCCTCACTCCTTTCTTAATGAATGAACGTCCTAACTTCAGAATGCCCTTGGATGGCTTGTGACATCCCCTTAGAAAGTCATTTCTGGAGCAGTGTGTGGGTGCGGGACGGAGTGTTCTCCGGGTGTTTGCCTGTGTCCTTTGTCTGCCCGCAGGAGGATGCATGCACATGAAGTGCCCACAGCCGCAGTGCGGGCTGGAGTGGTGCTGGACCTGCAGCTGTGAGTGGAACCGCGCCTGCATGGGAGACCACTGGTTCGATGTGTAGCCTCAGCCCCGCGAGTGGGCGAGTGGGCGCCGTCCAACTTGGAAACGTACAAAGGGTCCCGCCATTCCCTGCTTTCTCCAAACTCTCTCTCTCTCACGCATGCACGCGCACACACACACACACACACACACAGCACCGCTCAAGCTCCTTCCAAAGCCACAAAAACAAAGTTACAGGAGAAGCTCCTGGGATCCCTTTCTTTGTGCCCTCGAAAAACAACAAGAAGTATTCTCAGGCCTCAGCAGTAGGCAGACCGCGGAGCACAGAGGAGGCGCATCCACCTTTTGTATGGATTGTCATTTTCGCGGGAATTCAAGGCACGCTGGGTTTAAGTACGCAGAGAGAGATTTCTCAGGTTTAATTTCCTGCTTCGTACCTTCAGCAAAGATTGGGAAGAAGCCATTGGTGAGGAAATAGTTCGAAGGGACTATTGTCGGTGGTTCTCTCTAAGTTGGCCGACAGTGGGTTCTGAGAACTATATTCTCCACTTTAAGAGCAGTGCTTTTATTTAAATTATCAGAGAGCATCTATTCGCAAAGAACCACAGGCAATAGTCAAACTCTGTGTTTATCCCTAAGAATTCTACCTTTATATATCGCATGGATGGAATATCAACTATGCATACATTAGCTTGTCAACTAGTGAGAAATTATGAAAGTTAATTTGAATGTTGAATGTTGACATTATAGGAAAGAAATCAAAACTGCATGTACTTTTCCTTCCATTTAATTATTTGAGACCTTAGGAAGAAATTGTTTTTCTGAAAATATTACGAAGTCTGTAATTTGATTTTAAACATTCACTTTGCAGCTTGGGGAATAAGCTAGTACATTTGGCTTCACTGTAAACTTAATGGGTAAGGTGCCTGTAGAGGAGACATGTTTAGAAATGGCTTTATAATGATTCTCAATGTTAACAAAAGTGCAGGGTGTTAAGGCAGAAATCTTTAAAGAAGGAGCATTTCCAGGGATAACAAAATAGAACCAAGACCGATTATGTACCAGAAAGGTTTATGCTCTTTCTGCACCTGCCCGGTCCCCCAGCTGCATGCTCCAGGGGCTCGGACCCCCGAATGGGTTACTCCAAGGAGAGCTCTTCTCTAGGACAATAGAGTCACACCAGAAGATTTCCTCATGTTGACGTGGATCTAAATGGAGTGTTTATCAAGTTTTCTTTTCTTTTTTTTTTTTTTTGAGGCATTCACAACACATCAAAAAGAGATGTGTTTACACCAAATGCGGCAGACCTCATTTCCTATAGCACAGTGAACAGACGAAAAGGTATAACCACTGTCTTTGATTCTCATTATCCGTCTTCTCAGGGCCTTTCTTTGTAGACATAGCACCAGAAATCCTTGCTGGGGGAGAAAGGGAATGACCTCAGAATATTTCCCAAGGACATCTGTCCTTCTGTCCCTACCCATCCTCCCAGGGACCGTCCTGCCTGAGCGCCCTTTTTTTCCCCTCAGAGGCCAGTCCTGGGACAAGATGGAGTGTGGCAACCACAGTGTCATTAATCAGCCTCATTTGGCTTCACTCTCTCAGAAAATCCAACCTCCCAACATGACCCCAAAACTGCCAGACTCAGGTCACGAAGCCTTAAAGATCCTGGCGAGGGAACGGAGAGCCAATATCTGTAAACGTGAGCAAAAGGAAGGTCACTAGGCATGAGCCCGCATGTCCCAGGGGCTGGTATCAGTGAGGGCGCGTTACGGACAATCCCGGCAAGTAGCTTCTCACACTGACCCAGCAGGACAAATCAGACGGCTCCCTCTGTCGTGTGGAGCAGCCAGTATTTTATATCCACTATAGCTCTTGGGTTTAGTGATGCTGTCCTGATTGCTTCCTTCCAAATCTGCGTGCTGTGTTGGGTGTGTGAAGCCCGAACAGGGTTTGCTCTCATGGGTTCAGGCACGGGAGAAGTTTCTAGGGCTTTGCTCCTTTCCTGGTGGTGGTCTTTTTTTTTTTTCCTCCAGAATAGAATACTGAGACAAGTTAAAGGGGAAAAACAGCCTCTGTAAAGGAATGGGAAATCACAAACCACTATAAAGGAACATGCTTGAACATGAAATGTGTAACTGAATGTGAATATATCAAAAGCATAGAAATAAAATCTTTGCAGAAGAATCTTATTTTTCTCTGAAGCTTGTAAAGGAATATTTGACAATGTCTAAGGTTGTACTAGAATTATCAATAAAAAGCATCAATAGAGCTTTTGAGTCCATCTCTGAAGATAGATTTTCGGTAAATGCTGGGGTGTTGGGAGGGCAGCCCAGGACACCTCGCTCCAGGAGCCTCCCTCTGGGCCAGAAGGGATCGCCTGGCTAGGCAATGGCCGTTTTTATCTAAAAAGCAAACCATCCATTTAAAATCTAACGGTGACTTTCCTGCTGTATCAGCAAACTTTTCTAGTAAATGTTTAAAACAGAAGATTGAGTCAGGAAAAACCACAAGCATTCTCTGTGTATTGTTTCAGAAAAGCTCAGTGACTGCATTGCTCTCTTCGTGGGTGTGGTGATATTGCATTTCTTGAGAACTCTTGCAGTGGCTGGAATGAGTAACAATGAGCCTGTGTTTGAGTAATCTGGAATGGAACATTCTTGGAGAGTTCCTATACATATATTAGGCAAGCCGCACACCATGAGGGCCCGTTGGTGCCAAGCACCACAGGAAATGCTCTGAAGAAACATGAAGTTTCTAGGAGTGATGGCCCTGGTATTGACACTCATCTCCAGGGTGTAAATTAGAGACCTGATATTGTGAATAGAAATGAATAAGCACAGATGTGGGATGCTTATTTGAAAAGAAACAGCAGGTGTGGAGAAAAGCCAGCATTGTTGGTTGGGTGGTGTTACGTGCGCCCACCACCATCCTTGCTAGGCCATTCCTAGTGCCATGGAGAGTATCAATGTCGGTTTTTAAAAGAAAGCCCTATTTCAAAACAACACTGAACCCATCTTCCAGTTACCTGCTGTGAATAAACTGTCCAACCACAAATATTTAAAAGTTTTCTCTGCAGTTTGGATAATCATGCAAAAAAAAAGATGAGAAGTATTTTCCGGGAAGACATTTGGCACACAGATGCATGGCTCTATCTTGGTGGGCCCACAGTGTTCCTGGATCTCATCATCTGATGTGTAGACTGAATCAACTTTGTTAGCATCAGAGGTAACTGGACCCCAGAAGACAGACTCACATGAGTCCAACGCATAAGAGAACAAAGTACAAAACCTAGAACATCAATTTAAATGTATATTTACAATGAGAAGCTCATGTCCTGATCTTCACACACGCTTTTCCATCTGCCTAGAATCTTTCCAACCTCTCTTCACACCCTCTCCTCCCCGCTTTGGCTGGCCGGCCTCAGATCTCCATTTAACCAGCTCCCCCAGAAACCCTTCTCTCCCCATCCTGGCCTTCAACTGAAGGTCCTTCCTGAATGTTCCCAGGGCCACATGACTTCCCACATCAGAGCTGTGTGGTGTTTTTCCCAATACCAGCAAATTCTCCACTTCTCCACACAGCAACGGGGTGTCCTACAAGTCAATTCGATTCTTACACTACCTGGATTGTCAGGCCCCACAGGTAAGAGCTCAGTTTCACCAGACCACCTCCACGTCACACATGGCCCAAGTCCTCGGTTGCCAGCTATACTTCTCATTGACTGGCTATGAATCTGGGGTCCCCATGACCCCCTCCTCAGGCTCAGTACCTCGCTAGAAGACTCACAAATATCAGGAGAGTGCTTTACTTACTATTACTGGCTTGTGATAAAGAATCCAAACTCAAGGATCGCCCGAATAGAGAGGTGCATGGGCAGGGATGGGGTGGGATTGGGTGAGTGTGCAGAGCTTAGCAACAACTGGGAAGCTCTCTGAAACCCCTTGTTTAGGGGTTTCTACAGAGTTTTCATTAAGTAAGCATGATTGAGAATATCACTGGCCATTAGTAATTAACTCCATCTGCAGCCTTCTGGAGATGGTTAGGGACTGGGGCTGCAAGTTCCAGCCCTCTAATCATGCCTTGGTTTTTCTGGCAAGCAGCCCCCAGCCTAAAGCTACCTGGGACCGCCCCCCCGCCCCCCGCAACCACAGATAACTCATTAGCATGCAAAAGATATTCATCACTCCAGAGAATCCAAAACTTTGGGAGCTGTGTGCCAGGAACCAAATATATATGTCTTATATTTATTTATATTTATTATTATTTACTTGCCTACATATATGTGTATATATACACATATATATACTGCGTTTTGGAATTCTGAGCAAATCTCCACGGAAAATCAAACTACAATGGAAAGCATCCTTGCTGAGCCTAGACTCAGCGCTCAGTGACTTAGCTCCATGTGTGGACGAGTGACCCCTGGACAGATGTATCATTTTCCATTACAAATGTACCTCTGACACAGGATAGGAACCCCTGGTCTCAGATCAGGTAACCTTATCTCAAAGAGTTTCTGAGCTATATGGCCAGAGGACTGTACTTTTAAACTCCTGTTATGACTGCATTACCCTCCTCGCTCTCGCTGCCCCAGTGAGCTCACCTGTACCCTGGCTGTTCCGAGGCTCTGCAGCTGTACCAGCAGAAGCTCACTCCCCTGTGTTTCCTTTCTGTAGATGGTTTGTTTCATCCACGATTCCTGGATTTTTAATTCCAACCTCAGAGGGACTTAGGTGGCATTTTTGAACGATGCTATTCAGCATCAAATCTCCACTCAGTATTCTTTCCCTGGAAAGTTTTCCTTATGTGTTTATTTTTATTGTAAAATAGTTATTCCATTATTATATGCTTGTTACAGAAAATAAAGAAGGTGAAAAGAAAGAAGAAAAACCACCATCTAGAAATAATTATTTTGCATCTTACATATTTCCATTTGAAAACATAGGATGAGCATCTACCTATGTCAATAGATTTCTACATTGACAGTTTCCAGGACCTCATCGTGGTCTCCTATATATATACTAATTAAGTTAACAAGTGTATCCTTTAAGCTTTCAGATCTAATTCTAAAGTGTGTTTTTTGTATGGAGTCACTAAACAGTCTGGATATGAAAAGTAGTATGCAGCCTGAAAAAACATTTGCAGTATAATGTTAAGGAAAAAGGAGTTTAGGGCGCCTGGGTGGCTCAGTTGGTTAAGCGACTGCCTTCGGCTCAGGTCATGATCCTGGAGTCCCTGGATCGAGTCCCGCATCGGGCTCCCTGCTCAGCAAGGAGCCTGCTTCTCCCTCTGACCCTCCCCCCACCCCATGTACTCTCTCTCATTCTCGCTCTCTCAAATAAATAAATAAATCTTTAAAAAAAAGAATAAAATTTATTTTAAAAAAAAAAGGAAAAAGGAGTTTACCAGAAATGTGTGTGTGCTGTCACTGAAATTATTTAAGAAATTCTAAAAAGGAAATGATTGAAGAACATACATTAAAATGCAATTTGCTGTGGTGATAAAATTATATGTGATTTTTTTCTTTTACTTGTCTCTACTTTCTGTGTTTTTTGGCAGTGTGAAAATATCACTTTAAATGAAAATAATAGTTTTTTAATATCCTGTGACAGTAAAAACATCTCATATTGCTTGCGGCCAAGGAGTGAAGATTTTCCCATCAATAATTCTGCTCTTGGGGCACCTGGGTGGCTCCGTTGGTTAAGCGTCTGCCTTTGGCTCAGTTTATGATCCCAGGGTCTGGGATTGGGTCCCACATCGGGCTCCCTGCTCAGCGGAAGTCTGCTTCTCCTTCTGCTCCCCGCCCCCCACCCCCTGCTCGTGCTATTTCTCTCTCTCTCTCAAATAAATAAAATCTTTAAAAATTTTTTTAAAATAATTCTGCTCTTGAATTACCTGAACTTTTACTAAAATAACAAAACAGTAGATTAGAGACTACTGCTTCTTTCAAAAGAGTTCTACCAAACAAATTTGAGAGAAGTGGGCTGGGAGAGGAGTTGACTCTGGGAAGGCACGAATCTGCTTGCAGCCCAGCGTGGAAGCAGCATTCTTTCTCCTGCTTCTGGTGCACCTGCTCCGCAGAGGGGAGGGGTGGTGGGGCTGGGAGGGTTCCTGGCTCCTGGAAAGACTCTTGTTCCCTAAGAAGGCGAGGAAGTAGAAGGTTAAGGTGCCAACTTAAGTGGCCAGTTCTGCCTCATTAATATAAAAGAAAAATGGTCTTAGGTTTCTGATTTCTCCCTTTCCCAAAGCAAACTCGATCGATTTCAGGAAGCTAGAATGATCCAGTGCAGCTAACAGAGTGTGTGAGAAAGACGTGAGCCGAGATCAAATCAATGTCACAAAAGGTGTGGTGACCTTGTTTTGTTCATAAGTGATGGGAAATACAAGCCTGCTTCTCTCTTTTGTGAAGTAAATCGAATAAATTGAATGAAGTCATTTCAATTTCTTTTAATAAGTTTGAAGACCGTCAGCTCCCCTGCTCCCTCGCAGCCTGCCTCTGCAAAGGTTCCCCTGATCCATCTGCAAGCCAAACCAATCAAGAGGCCAACATCTTGGATACTGATGCCGCCCAAAGGAGCTTATCCCACTAAAAATAGGGCCTCCGGAAACCACAGCAAGCCCTTGATACTCACGCGGGACCAGGAATGGTATTCTAGAATCCCTAAATTCTGCACTATCTCTCTGCACCAGCAGCTGGCTTTATTCTCCGGCCATTTGTCACGGAGACATTCAGATTTCATGATCTCACACGCATTCTGTGCATTATCCCAGTGGAGTCCCTGCTCTCTGTGGCCTGTTTCCCTGCAGTGACCTCCAGCTGGTGTCTGAGTCGGGCGCCCTCTTTCCGGAACCACACGGCCTGCTCCCCCGCTCCCTGCTGGCGCTCACTCACTCTCCCTTCTCCACATCGTTCACCTGTATCTGAACATACCATGCATTTGCCTGTTTATGGGGTCTCTGCTGTCTCCCCTATTAGAATGTTAGCCCCAGGAGGGCAGCTCATCGATGCAACTTCTCTTGTAAATGATAATTAAAGAACAGACATCAACAATCATCTGCCAAGGGGCTCACGCCCACCCACCTACCCATTGCCCACCTGCCTCAAATCTATGCAAAAACCACCTGACCAAAACAGTTAACCCCTCAGGGAGTTGTGTCAGAAACACCAAGTGCCATTGCACAAACTGTTATTTAGAAGCATTGCCTTTGGGGCGCCTGGGTGGCTCGTTGGTTAAGCATCGGCCTTCAGCTCAGGTCATGATCTCA